ATCCATCCATCCATCCATCCATCCCCTGCAGGCAGAGCCCAGCCACAGCTCATCACATCCTCTGCCGCTCCCTCCCTTTTATAGCCCACTCGGAGCCTCCACGCAGGTTTTTCCGTGGGTGGCTCAGACTGTAATTAAGAGCCTTCCCCTCCCGCCTGCCCCAGCTCTAGTCTCGGCAGCTGCTGCCAAAGCCAAGGAAACCCCTTTCGTCCTCTCTCTCCTTTATAATTTCATTTCCCCCCCCCCCCCCCTTCGGAACATAAAGGGATGACAGTGCTCCGAGCCAGGGTCTTTTGCATTTCTGAGTTGGTTCTGTTAATTGGAAGGAGGGTTAAGAATCTGCAAGGTCGTTTCAATCTACATCTGACCTTCAGAGTAATCCTCTATGCCAACACCAGAGCATGTCATTAAAATGAGGCCCTCTTCCATATCCCGGCATCCCTTTATTCTCTCCTTGTGCACATTAATTGCTCATAAGTTGATTTGATCTCCCTATTCTGCAAGAAGTAAATTGCCCTCTTATTTCGCCATTTTCATCCTGTTTTCTTAATTAGGCCCTTAAAAATCTCTAGGGCCTCAGCCAGGCCGCAGGCCTCATCCTGGGAATAAATTTTGATCTCAGCCTGATAAAGAGTGAGCAAACCCCGAGCTGGAACAATGTCATCGCTCCCCTCCCTCCCTCCACGCTATTCTCCTGACATGAAAAGGCTATCAGTTTTTCTCTGTGTTAATATAGGAAATAATTCACACTTCAGGCGTTGTTCTCTATTTAGTGTTCACACTCCCCAGATAAATCAAATCAGGGTTTTTTTAGTTTTCCTCTAAAGTGTCTGGAACTCCTCACTGCTCTCCCCCCTCGGCCTCCCCTCGATCTTTTTTCCCCTCCTTCTCCTTTTAATAAAGTTTCCAAGATTAGCCCCTGTGATTTTCCATCCTGGGAAGTCTATTTTAAGGTGGATTTTCTCGCTTTCTTCCCCCTGTGTGTGTTTAACCCCAGCTCAGAGGGGAGTGGGGGCAGTGGGAACCTGTGCACACAGTGGAGCAGAGCCAGGGGCTGCAGACGTGGCGTGGGATGAGCTTTGCCAGGCACAGGCTCAATAAGACTTTATGAACACATTTTCCCCCTTGCACAGGGCAGGAGGATCCTCAGCCTGCAGCAGACCCCAAAAACCCACCTGTACCAGGGGTCTGAACCCCCAGAGAGGTTTTGCAGGGCCCTGAGATGATGTTAATCCAGCCCCAGGACCAGCTGAATGTGCTTCCCCCTCCAACCAAGCCAGGCTTTTCTGCAAACCAATCCCAGCCCCCAAATCCCCCCCAAATCCTGCAAGACAGGGATGCTGCAGCAGCCAAAATCTGGACACAGTTGTGGCACCTCTGGGTCCTCTTTGCACCACGATCCTCCCTCCTTCCAGGACAAGAAGAATCTGCAACACTCCAGGATGTTGTAAATAAATATATTTTAATGATTCTTCTTCCATTCCAGTTCATTCCTTTATACATTTATTTATAAAACAGTAGTAAAATTTTTTAATCAGAGCACAGTGCATTAAAAAAAAAAAAAGAAAACAAACAAAAACCCCAAAAGATTAAAAAAAATAATAATAATTGTAATCCACAACTGTTTGCTCACAGCCAGGGGAGATGCCACCACATCTGGTGCTGAGACATCCTCTGCCCACTGGTGCCCCAGGGCCCAGCAGAACCACCCTAAAGCCACAATAATCCAAATTTCCTATGGGATTTCACCCTGAAGCTCCCACACAGCCCCTCTGGGGTCTGTGGATCCCCCACACCCACAGGTTCCTGGCACAGCAATGGCCCTGCCAGGGCACAATTCTCTTTACAGGCACTAACGGCAGCACACGAAGGGTGCCAAGGCCTCCCGTGAACACACAGGGTGAAGCACCCCCAAAATCACCAGCACACAGCCCAGAGCCCCTCAGCTGGCACCCACCCACCCCTCGGCTCCCTTCCTCCACCCTGCCCTGCTCCAGGGCCCCTCGGACACCTCCTCCTCTTCCTTCCCTCCTTCTGCACTTCCCCACACCCTCACGTCCCACAGACACCTCTCGGGGGGCACTGGGGCTGTCCCCCACCTCCAGTCCCAAACCCACCCACCACGGGGCCCTTCCCAGCCCCACAAAGTGCCCTATCCCAGGACAGGGTGTCCCCAGTGACCCCATCCCCACATGGGCACCCACAGCCCAGGGGTGATGATTGCCAAGGGGTCTCCTCTCTCCAGCCTTCCCTCCTCTCCCTGAATAAATCCATGCAGTATTTTCCCTGTGAAGAGTGTCCCCCTGCCCTTCCCAGCTCCCTCCCTGCCACCAGTTGGGCAGGGAAGGCAGGAGATGAGGCAGAGCCCAAAACCCAGCATGGAGCCATCCTGGCTGGGGAACAAGCTGGTGACACTGGGAAGAGAAACAAACTCCAAAGTCCAAGGCAGAGAGCAGCACCTCAGGTTTGGCAAGTGGTACAAACCATTCCCTGGTTCCTGGCCAGAGCCTCGACCCTCCATGCCCACACAGGGCAGGACTTCAAGCAAGTATCCCCAAAAACAAGTGTAAAACCCCTTTATCCTTCCAGCCAAGAGCCAGAGCTCGGTGTCATGGGGCAGAGACAGCTTGAGGGAGGCTGGAGGTCACCTGGCACCATTGCCCAGAGGTCAGCAAGGTTTTTGGGGTGGTGAGTGCTGCCAAACCCTGAGCTGGGGTCCCCCCACAAGGTGGGAACCACAGCAGGGGGTTGATGGAGCATCAAACACCCCATCCCAGCTGGATCGGGTGACTTCAGCATGATGTAGCCACAGACCCAGCTCACTGGGACATCACCCTGGTGCCACGGAAATTAACACTCCAAGTAACACCTCATCTGCCTCCCGTGGCCCCGAGGGGCAGCAGGTGCTCTGAGGAAGGAGGAACTGTGAAGGACATGGCACTGGGAAGCATCCAGGGGCTCGGAGGCTGCGCTGGGAGAGACTCCTCGGGGCGGGGCGAGGGGAGGAGGCAGCAAACCAGACACAAAGCTCTGAGCATCGTCCCTCTGCGCCCAGGAGGCTCCGAGCCAGCACCCTGGGGAGGGGAACAGGCCAGGAGGGTTTCACTGAAAGGCAAAGCAGCCGAGGTCACGCTCCCAGGCTGTGGAATCTGCAGCCAGGCCAACGCCACGGCAAGCCAGGCAGGTCCATCCACTCCTGGCACAAACAAGCTGCGAAAGACACGGCGGTGCCCCGCGGGGAGCGCCCCTTGCATAGAGAAAGGTACTCCTAGGAGATTCAAGTGCGTGGCAGGACTGGAGTGTCCTGTGACTTCACTAACCAAACCCCACGGCCCAGTCCTCGCCCCAGCGCCGAGCAGCTCCTCATCACAGCATGTCTGTGTCCTCCATGCTGAAGCTGCTCCGACGACTGCTGGCCTTGGAGGCCTCGGGGGACATGGCCGAGAACAAGGGGTCGGAGGCCAAGGGCAGCATCGTGTCCTGCATCAGCATCAAGTCCAGCTCCTTCTTGGATAGGGATGGGAAGGAAGCACTGTGGCCAGGCTCCAGGCTGTCCGGGAAGCCCTGGGAGCCGTCGTCGAAGCTCAGGCTGTGGGTAAAGTCCAGCTGGTGATAGGGAGATTGGGGTGGTGGAGGCAGTGATGGCTGTGGCTGCAATTCAGGGTCTGGGGGTGGCAGCAGTGGCTCCAGCGTCCCCTCGTCCCCGCTGGCTTCTTGCTTGACCATCTGCTGAGCCAGCTCGGCCACGTTGACGCCCGAGGGTGAGGAGGTGGGCAGCCCGTGCACGCGTGCCTGCATCTCCAGCTCCTGCCAAGGGCACACACAGGGCTTTGGTGGGGATGCCATGCACGGGGACGTGGCACATGGATGTTCCTGGAGGTGCCAGGGTCAGAGGGATCAAGAAATTCACAGGGAAGGAACCCATGGAAGAGGTGAAGAAGGGAAAATGGTGACCCATACAAAGCTCAGCTCGCTGTGGTGACCTGAACTTCAGACATCAGGTTTGTCTGAAGACTGTTCCTGGTGACTTGCCAGGCAGAGAGGGAGGAGAACCCTTGCCCATCCCCTCGGCAGGGCGGGAGTGAGCTGCTCCTGGGGCTGGAGTGGAGCACAGGGAGGGAAGAGCTCAGGGAAGCTCACCTGGATGCGGAGCAGCAGCTGCTTATTCGTCATCTCCAGGCGCCGCGAGTGGTTCTCCAGGTCTCGTGACCTCTGCAAGTCCTTCTGCATCCTCTTGATGTAGTCCACAGAGGCCTTCAGGATTGTCCCTTTGTTCCAGCGCACATCCCTGTCATCCAGGATGGAAAAGAGATGAGCCTGTGTGTCAGCAACGTGTCCCCTCAGCCCTGCTCCACCAAAAAACCCTCTGCAAGTATCAGCACAGCTATCCCAGCCCCAGGAACCGCAGGTACGTACAGGTCGTTGGCCTTGGGGATCAGCATCCCCAGCTCCTTGATGCGGTCGTTGATGTTAAACCTTCGCCGTCTCTCGACTGCAGGTGAGAAGAGAGGGATGGGGTGAGGAGGAGGGAGGAGCACGGGAGGTTCCATCTCCACACTCTCCACCAGCCACACTGCTGCTCCTGGCTCGTGGGGCTGGAAGCCACTGCCATGCCCTAGCCAGACCCTCTGGATTTGAGGAGCTCAGGATGAGAAACCCCTGGAGCCAACCCTTTGTCACTCTGCTCCATCCATGGCCCAGAAGGTCTGTCCTCCCCACAGAGGGACAACAGGGTGTCTCCTGTATTCCATTGTGCAGAGCAAGGAAAGAGGCAGCCATGGCAGGGAGCTATAATAGGGTGTTTCCTGAGGGTGAGGTGAGATGGGAAGGGAAACCCAGCTCAGAGAAGGGAGGAACAAGGATGAAGAGTGATGGGGAAAGAGCTGTGGGGTCAGGAAAGCCAGAGCCAAACTCACTCAGGTTGTGATTGTCTTTCTTCTGGCGCTCTTTGGCCAGGGCTCGGCTCTCAGCATCTGCAAGAGACACACAACATCACCCAGAGGGGACAAAGCTGTGTCCTGTCCCACTAACATCATGGGCTGGCACCAGAGCCCCCTAGAGCCACAATCCATGCCCAGGGCAGCCCCAGCCAGTCCTGGCACTCACTGTCACTCCCCAGCTCTGGGGACAGGGACATACCTGTGAGCTCTCTCTTCTGGGTGAGGTCAGCAGGGCAGGAGCTGCTGGTGACACCGACGAGCGAGGCTGTCACCTGGGGGTCCCCACTATAGACATTCATGTGACTGCTGGACATGGGCAGCTGAAGGGCAGAGGGACAGGCAGGTTAGCTCCATCAGGGGCTGCAGGATGGGGCCCAAGCCCAGCAACTCGGCCCTCAGGGCCATGAGAGCATAGCCTGGGCAGGTGGAATTGTCTTCCCTGGCCCTTAGAGCAGCTATAATCAGAGTAGCAAAGAAAACAGGACTTCAAAGGGCACAGCTGATCCCCTCCCACAGCCAACATCTAAAATAGGGCAGATGAATCACATCCGAGCAGGGCTCGGCAGGATGAATCCCACCGGGAGGCCAAGCTGCCGTACG